AAGGGAACTCTCCTTTTGCTGCTAAATTTGGAACAGTCTAGTTAGGGAACAGGGCCAGGGCCTGGGATTTCACTGGCAATAGGGAGGGACCCTGGGGCAACTTGAACTGCTGCCTACCAGCTGGTGCTCTGCAGCTTCTAAAAGTGGCTGAGATCCTTAGCAGAGGTTAAGCCGCTCGGTCGGTGTATGTAAGAGGCAGGCCCTGAAGGAGTTCATTTTTTCAACTCAACAAGCACACATTAAGTACCTGCCTAGTGAGGGCACAACCCTCCTCCCAGTTGATCCGGGCTTATAACCTCAGTGATTCCCTTTCTGTTCTGATCTGTGGCCAAATCTGGTGGTTTCTGCCTCACAAGTGGCTCCAATTTCCCCTTCTCTCAGCACTTCATCTCCCTGGTGCAGACCCTCATCCCTTCAGGCCTAGACTAAGTCAATAACGTCCTTGGGAGGGAGGGGTCCTGCCTGCCTCAGCCTCTCTCCCCTCCAGTCCATTCTCCAGCCAGTAAAGTGATTTTCCCAAAGCCGCCCAGGTCACCCCTCTATTCTGTAATCTCCAGTGGCTCTCTAGGGCTTCCAGGACCAAATGCCAAGTGCCCCGTTGGGTGATGAAAGCCCTTTGTGACCCCTGCCCCATCTCAGGTCTGTCTTTCCTAACTGTCCCTGACCCCTGCAAAGCTTCCCTTCCTCCCCTGCAGGAATCTTCATTTTTTCCCGGCATCCTTTAAGTCTCAGTTCCAAACTGGCCTTCTGGAGGGCTTTCTCGGTCCCTCCCCCACAGCTAGTGCCTTTCCTGGGGGGACCCCGCCTCCATCTGGACTGGAGATCTTACCTAGTACCTTTCTTGCTGCGGCTCCCCTTTAGACCATGAGCTCCTGGGGGGGGGGGGGGGGGGCTTTGGTTTTGCCTTTCTTTTGTATCCCCAGCTTAGCACTGTACCTGGCACACAGTAGGCGCTTAATGCCTGCCGATTCATTGCCAGGCACAGAGCTAAGTTCTGGGTATCTACAAATAATTTACTAGATACATAGACGGACAGATAGGTACTAGATAGGCAAGATGGACGAATGAATGAATGCCCTTTCCAGGAATTATGCCCTTACTAGTCGATGCGTAGGAAGATGGACCTGGAACCCTCAGTTTAAATTCAACCCGAATCCCTTAGTAGTTGTTGAGACCACAGGCACGTCCCTTCCTGGCTGAGCCTCGGTTTCCTCTCTCTGTTAAATGGGGTTACTCACTTCCAGCCTCATCCTGGGGCTGTGGCAGGGACCAGATATTGTGTGGCTATCCCTATTCATGGTAGGGTGGGCTTGGTTTGGATGTTTTGGGGAACCTTGTATTGGGGTATTCAGTGAAAACAAAAAGATCAGAGGGTGGGAGGAGGGAGGGGAAGGAGTGCTGGCTGGGGGCTGAGGGCTGGGGGCTGGGGGCGAGGCCAGACTCTGGAAGCTTGTTCTGTCCTACGCAGAGAGGGCGGAGTGCCTAGCCATGGCCCGAACTGGGAAGGCTGTTGAGCCGGCGAGCTGGAAGACTGAAGGACCTGCCCAGGGGCCGGCGGGTGGGGACCTCCATCTGGAGGCAGAATCCTCCCTGCAAACGCTGAGAAGACAGTACCTTCAGAAGTCTACTAGCTATTTCTTGGCAGGTCAGTGTCTCCTTACTGAATAGCTGAAGGACTTTTTGCAGACAAGATTACTGAAGCTTGGCTAGGGGGTGGCCCCCAGAACTGGACTAGGCCTACTGTGCGCTGAATTCAATTTACCAGATACCTCTAAGTCCCTGCTTGTGATTTAGTCCTGTCTCCATGGAGGAGGTGGCCCTTCTTGCCAAGCCCACCCCCTGGATGAGGGCCACAGACCTTGTTTCTAACACCTCCCCCCGTGCTCATGTGCCTACTCTCTTTCTCTTCACCTCGATCTCCCTAATTCCTACTGCCTACCCCCAGCCAGGACCCTCACATCTCACTCTTCTGTCCACCCCTCCCCCTGTGCCAGCCAAACTTCAGAGAGCTGCCTTCTGGACCCCTCCCCCTCCTTCTCACTGCACTTGCCCTCCCCCCTCCAGAGTTAGGAAGCATTTATTAGTACTTGCCTTTTAGCTGACCCGAGCTGCCCTCTCCAAAGCCCCCAGCCAGCTCCTTGAGGCCAAACCTGAGTCTGTTGTCAGCCTTGCCTTCTCTGCCGATCTTCTGCCTTGGCCACTGTGGATGCCTCTTTTCCTTACCCCTTGGGTTTCCCTGACCGTTCTTTCACATACCTCAGAGCTCAGCCTGGGCGCTCTTCTCCCTGTATTGTATCCTCCTCACCTCCTTGCCTTGTGTGGTGTTTTCTTTTTATTTCATTCACTTATTCTTTTAAATGAATTTTTACTTTCTAGCAAAGATCTGTTTTCTCACCGTGCCACCTCCCATTGAGAAAGCAAGAAAGGCAAGCCTCCTGGGTTTAATTATCATCGCTACGTAGTTGATCACCAGCTCTCTATATCCAGGCCCCTCCTCCAGGAGCCACAGTGATTTTCATAAAGTGTGGGTCTGACCTTACTCAGTAAGCTCCATCAGCTTCCTGTTATTTCTAGGGTAAAATACTAGTTCCTGTTTGGCATTGAAACCCTGCCCAGCCTTGTTAAGCATTCGTCCGTCCCCTCAAACAATGCACAGCCTCTGAGGCTCGTTCCTCACAGAGGACACCCATTGAGGGCGCTGTGCCGTGGCCGAGCTTTGTACCTGGAATGCACCCCTCACTACCGCCTTGTGGAATGCCCGGTGTCCTTCAAGACTTGGTTCAAGGTGCCATCTTTTGCAGGAGGCATCTACCGGTTCCCCCAACTGTTAGCCAATTTTTCTCCCGCACTCCCAAATTTTCCTTCTGTTTGCCCTTCTTTCCCCACCCTTCCCCAAGGAAACAAAAACCTTTTGTGTTGTTCTGGTTCCGAGTTCCTGTTGCTCCTGGGTCCAGTAGGAGCCCCTTGAGGGCATGGACTTTCTCTTGCCCAGTACAACTCTAGGAACACGGTACTTAGTGTTTTGACTGAATAGGGGTGATGCTTGACCCCATGGGAGTGGATGAGTGATGCCCAGAGAAGGCAGAGAAGACGAGGGGATCAAGGCCAACCTGAAAATGGGGTAGGGAGGGGACAGAGAGTTGTGGCGAGCTAAGAGTCCAGTGGGTGCCATATTTCCTAGTTGGGAGAGCCCAGAGTAAGGAGGAAGAGCCTGGCGGGAGGGGGGAAGGAGGGACAATCAAGCCCCTCTTTCTTTTTCTTTCCCAAGAGGGCATCCTTTACCGCCAGGGCAAAAATCGAAATCAGAAATTTCTCTTTACTGATGAGGAGAAGAAAAAGGCCTTTTGGGAGGCCCATGTTGTTGAAGACAGGCACTATGGCTTGAGAAACACCTGCACTAACCTCAGCAAGAACTACTACTGGCCAGGGGTGTCCGTCGATGCCCGAAACTGGGTAGGAGCGGTTACAAGACAACAGTCTTCAAGTTGTGTGCAGGGAAGCTGGGTGGTACAGTGGGTAGAGCTCTGGATGTGGAGTTCCAATTCAGAAACCCCCTGGCTGGGTGACCGGCCAGCTCATATGTCAAATGTCTCAGTCACAATTTCCTAGACAATGAGGGGGCCTCTAAGGTCCACGTCAGCTCCAAATAGGACCCTCTGATTTTAGCCGGCTTGGCTAAAATCCCACTTTTCTGACTTCCGCTCCTGAGTCCCAGCTTGTGTCTTGAGTGACCCAAACGGAAGGCTGACCGATTTAATCCTGAATGGTCATCGGAGCTTAGATTAGAGAACCAGAGAGAAAGCTTAAGGTCCAGAGACGGAGGTGGCCCAAGGGGGCTTGGGTGATTGGGTGACCAGAGCTGGGAAGGCCACAAGTTCATGGGCATCCAAGAAGGCTTACCTTCGGAGCATGCCTCCTCCCTTTGGTGATTACATCCAGCTTACTTTTTCCCCAGGAATAAAGCTGGTTAGGGAGACTTAGCCAACCCAACCTGCTGTATGCAGAGAGCCCTATGAGCTCAGAGCCTGGCCCAAGCTTGCGCCCTGAGCAGGATGTGAAGGGTCGGGAGGGTGGGGAGGTCATGGGCTGGAGGCGGCCTCCTTTCTTCTCCTAGCCTGGCCGGAAGCTCTGTGCTCTCTTACCCCACAGGTCAAGAAATGTAAGAAATGCCAAGACAGAAGTGTCAGGATGGCAGCACAGGTTGCCGTGGTAAGTGCCCTCTTGGCAGGTTGGCAGGGTGAGAGCGAGGAAGCCCAAGACTTCCCAAAATCCTCCCTGGAGGGACCCAGTGGGGGACAGATGGCCTGAAGATGGGTTTCCCTGCCCTGGGTCTGAGGTCAGGCATTTCAAGAGCTTTCTTGCCCTACCTGGGAGTTGGGAGCATGGGCTTGGGAGAGGGCAAAGCCAGGGCTGGGCTGGAGGCAGGTGGCCGTACATCCCTCTCCCAGCTGAACTGGAACCATCACTGCTTTGCATTCTTTGAAGGAATCCGGATCTGCTGGAGACCTCCAGGAAGAAAGCAGGGCCACTCTTCATTTCTTGGTGCCCCAGGTACTGTTGGATGTCCAGGAGCTGCGGCTGCCTTGGGGCGGAGGCCAGGGGGTGATTTCTCTTCTGACTAAACCTCTCAAGCAGCTGTGTTTGCTCATTTTTTAATTTTCTTTTTTCTATCAACCTTCTCTCTCCCACCTCCTCCCTCCCCCAAATGAGAGAGAAGTGAGACAAACTCCCCATCACAGCACGTATAGACCTCAAATGCCCTGGGGCCGTATAGACCTCAAATGCCCTGGGGCCTGGGCCGCATCTCCAGGCAGTCAGCTCTTGTGTCATCATGAGTCCTTTGGGATTATGCTGGGTCCTCACGTCCAGCAGAGTTTGAATATTTTGGCACATCTACAGTTAAGAGTGGGTTTTGCTCAGGACCAATCCCTCCCCTTGTCTGCCCCTCCTTTTCTCCTTCCTTCCTTCCTTCCAGTTTCCCGGCTGAGTGACGTGTATTTCTGTACCCAGTTGCCTGAGGTGTATCCTTCCCTCCTTTTGACCAGTTCAGATGAGTGAGGGTCCAGAGTGGGCTGTTCCCCCGACCCCTCCCTCCTTGTTTGCATAGACTTCCACATTCGTTCGCCAGTTGTATATACCCAGTACCCAGGCTTCCTGCCTCCCTTCCCCGTGCAACTCCCGCTCAGCATCCGTCCCTGGGCCTGCCCAGGCGACTTCCCAGCATTGACTGGGTCCTCCTGGAGACCTGTCGTGCCAAAGCCTGGACTCCCTGCTCCCCGTCTGTTCTCTTCCTCCGTAGAACAAAGGGCTCTTCAGCTTTGTCAGCCTGCAGCTGTTTGGGCCCCTGGAGAAGACCGCCAGGGGAGCCCGCTTTGCCTTTGTGACTACTGACTACTTTACAAAATCAGTCCTTGCCGCACCTATGCAAACCTGCTCCCCCGAGGACACTGGCAGGCAGATCTTTGAGCTGGTGAGGAAGTTTGGCCTACCGGAAGGCATCTTCAGCACTCAGCAGCAAGGCTTCATCCTCCAGGTAGGAAGCTGCTCTCTGATCATCCCCGCCCCAAGCACTCCTTCAGCTGCCCCGAGACGACAGCCCGCGTCAGGGCCCGGCTCGGGCCAGGGTCAGGGCATCAGGGACAAGTGAAAGGAGTGTGTGTCTGCCCAGAGAAGTGGGGAAATGAGGCCCTGGAATCAATGCCATCGATCCAATGTCTGCTACAGGGCACTGTGCTGGGGAGGTGGGGACAATCCTCCCTGCCCTCAAGTACCTGGATGTCTCCTGGGGGTGAATGTACACAACAGAGCCTCCAAAGGCAGCTGCCGGGATGGGGAGGGGGAATCAGGTCGGTCCCTTGGAGGGGATGGATGGGGAGGGGAGAGAGAGGATTCTGGGCATGGAGGCAGGAGAAGTCATGAGAGGAGAAGGCCCCGCTGGCTGAGATCAAAAGAGTACGTGGTCATGGGGAGTGAGAAACGTGAAAACTAACAATTATACAGCACCTACTGGGTGCAAGGCCCTGCGCTGAGCGCTTTACAGACAGTGTCTCATTGGGTCCTTACAACAATCCTGGGAGAGAGGTGCTATTGTCCCCACTTTACAGATGAGGAAACAGACAAACTAACTTGTCTGGTTCCTCTGCTAGTGCCTGGGGCTGGATTAGAACTCTGATCTTTGGGACTCCAGGCCCAGAGCTCGGAGCACTGTGGCGCCCCCTCGCTGCAGGGAAAGATTCATGGTGGAGGGTGGAGTGAAGCTCCATGAGCAGGGCAGTGCTGTGGTCAGTCAGCCATGTGTGTGCTTGAGGAGGGTGGTTGCAGGAAGACCCGTAGGAGGCTTTGTCAGGCAGACACCTTGGGTGGTCAGGGCAGGCCTCACAGAAAGGGTGGCATACAACCTGCTGGGCACCAGAGGATGTGCGGCCTTCAGATAAGCCAAGGAGAATTGGCATGGCATCCCAGGTAAAGGGAAGGATGTGAGCAAAGGCTCAAAAGCCAGAATTTGGGTCATAACCTGTTAGATTCTGAGGTCAGTAATGATTTCCTAGGTTCCAGAGTCGGAAAGGGACCATAGAGCTCCTTCCTCCCTATCACCTAACCCCGCATTTTACAAAGAAAGAAACTGAGGCAGACGACACAATGGAGCGAGAGAAGAGCCCGGTTCACATCCTGCCTCTGACAGGACCCTGGGTGGCCTTGCACAGCCCAGGGCCTCATGTTCCCCATCTGGTAAATGAGGGAGGTGGTGTGGTTAGCCACTTCTACTTTCAGCTAAACTCCTAAGACTGAGGCCCTCTAGGCAGCAGCAGAGCTCTGACTTGAACCCAGGTCCAGTAACTCAACAAAGCAAAGGGAACCCCAGTGGTTTTGGTTTTTTTAAGTTTTAAGTGTGATGCTGCTTGTTTCTATGATTATAGAACACCCTCTCCTCCAGCCCTCCATCTGCCCCATTACTCTTCCTCTGAGAGACAGAAAAACCGCTAAGTATACCAGCCTCTAGTGACCACTTCCTATTGGGCTCGGGCACGCGGCCCTCTACAGTGGCATCTGGTAGCTGTGAGCCCCCACCTATCTGCCAAGAGCCTGGAATGCTTTGTCCTCATCTGTCCTGAGGGCTGTGCGGGCAGTGCATTTAGCCTGAGGTCAGCTGCCTCATTTTTATTTTCATTATTGAAATCCCTGCCAGTAATTGTTCCTCTGATGCCTTTTTGGTTCTTGCCTCTTCCAAGCCTTCCCAGATTTCTCTGAAATTGTCCCTTTTGCTGTTCTGTGAACCGCTGTCCTGATGACATCATGTGCTCAGCCACTCCCCACTGGGTGGGCTTCCCCTGGAGTTCCAGTTCTTGACCACCGTGAAGAGAGCTGTAAATACTTTGTAGGAGTAGGTCTCCTCCCTTTTTCTTTGCTCTCTTTGGAAGTGCAGGCCTAGAATGAGTGGAATCACTGGATCCACAGGATGCCCAGCTGAGTGACCGAGGCCACAGTTAGTTCCAAATTGCTTTCCAAATCTCATCATACACACAACTCCACCAACCACGTACCAGTGTTCCTTATGGCCCCTCCAACAATTTCCATTTTCCTTTTTTCTCATCTTGGCCAATGTTTGGAATTTCAAAATGGTTCTTCTCGTAGGTCTGTAATTCTCAGTGGTCTGGAGGATGGTTGGGGCTTGATTTGGTTTTATTGTTTGTTTGTTTTTGCTTTTGCTGTTCCGTGAGGCAGTCGGGGTTAAGTGACTTGCCCAGCGTCGGTCACACAGCTAGCAAGTTTCAAGTGTCTGAGGCCAGATTTGTGGTTTGGTTTTAATGTGGCTTTTGAGAGCTCGCACTTTTTTCCTTCCAAAAGCTTCCTCCCAGAGTTGACAGCCAAGAAACAAAGCGGCTAGAGTAGCTCCCAGCCCTTGGGGAGTCCCAGAACTCCCTGGGCACTGACAGAAGAGGTAGATGTGTCAACCCTGCTGACACAGAACATAGATAGCTAACGCTGGCAGATATCCTGACAGTACAGTGGGCTGCCTTGTGTGTGAGGTAATGGGTTCCCCGTCATCCAGGGGATCCAAGATTTTCTTTCGGGTCTAGGGTCTCTGACCTTCTTGTTGGGGGAGCCCTCGCCCCCACCCTCAGGTCCTGCCAGCGTGGCCGGTGCCTCTCAGTGGCTGAAGCTCATGTTTCAAATCCAGTGTGTCCATAATGCCCATTGCTTCTCACTTTTGATTAATTTATTTGGTCTTATCTTTTCAGCTAAATAAAATTTTGAAAATGGCCTTGAAAATAAAACGTAACCTGGTTGTTGAATACTGTCCTCAAACAGACGGGTTCCTAGAAGACACCAAGGCCTTTGTGAGGAGGTGAGCTGGGGCTGGGGGGTGGGGAGGGGAGGGCATGGGAGAGCCCAGTGGCCTGCGTTTAGATCCTGAGCATCATCTCCCATCACCTCCTCTGTGCATCCTTGTGGGTCCCAGGAGGGGTGACTGGCTGCCTACTCAAGCACATCCCAAGGTAACCGCTGGGTTCCCATGTTCCTTCTGAGGGCTTGAAACTAATGAGATCCTGCATGAAGAAGATGTGGCTGGAGTCAAGACCCTGCGTGCTTTGTGTTTGTCTCTCCGTCCATCCATCCAGCCATCTGTCTGTCTATCTGTCCATCTATCCATCCATCCAGTCATCTGTCTGTCTGTCCAATCTATCCATCACATCTATCCATCACGTCCATACATCCACCCATCTATCCGTCTGTCGGTCCATTCATCATCCACCCATCCATCCATCCATCACATCCATGCATCCACCCATCCATCCATCCATCACATCCATCCATCCATCCACCCATCCATCCATTCATCCACCCATCCATCCATCCATCCATCTAGCTATCCGTCTATCTGTCTGTCCATCGGTCCATCCATCCACCCATCCATCCCTCTGTCCACCCATCCATCTATCTGTCCATCCATCCAGTCTTCCGTCTGCCTGTCCATCCATCCATCCCAAACCACCCCCTTTCTTTTCAGGCTTCTCTCCCTGGTGCTGACAGCAAACCCGACAGATTGGGACCAACACCTCCATGAGGTTTTCTTCCTCCAGAGCAGACCCTCTGACTACATAAGGGCCTTGCCTGGAGGGTCCTCCTCCCTAACCCCACCTGCCCTCCATCGTGGAGGTTTTGGCTGGCTCCTTTAGTCCCTGCAGATGGGAACATTCTGTGGGCTGAGGACAGCTCTACTGGTCAGCGAGTGATGAGCATGGGAGGGAGGGAGGGAGGGAGGGAGGGAGGGAGGGAGGAGGGCCTCACAGCTTGGGAAGGGGGTGCTTGGACACAGGGTCCCTTCCCCAATGTTCCTGGGCCACTCTGGCTCTGTTCTGGGCCCCATTGCATCTGCCCTGGATCTCTTACTAACATGTGTGTCATCTTCCCAGACGCTTCCTAGCTGTGTGACCTTGGGTAAGTCAATTCACCCTGTTTGTCTCAGTTTCCTCATCTGTAAAATGAACTGCAGAGGAAAATGGCAAACCGCTCCAGTATCTCTGCCCAGAAAACCCCAAATGGGGCCACGGAGAGTCAGACATGACTGACAAACTGTTGAACAGCGAGTGGGGAAAGGAGGTCTGGAGTGAGGGTGACCAGCTGGGTGGCTGTGGCCTCGCTGCCCCGTTGTCAGGAGGACAGATGCAGGTGCAGAGACGCAGCAGGCCTGGGGACTGAGTGCGGGCTGTTTCCAGAGGAATCTGTCCCGACCCCCAGGTTTCTTCCCTTCTCCATCTCTAGGAAGAGGAGGAGGACTTGAGTGGCCCAGAGGTCAAGTTGCAAGACGTCTCCTGTGCCCCTGATGCAAACTGCTCCCCATTCGTCTGTGCCCCCGAGGCCCCGCAGAGCTGCCCAGATAGCGAGAGGGACTCCCCGGTGAGAGCCCCAAGAAGCGAGGACAGGTGTCTGTATTGTAACAGGCTTCCCGATGAGGGTGACAGTGATGTGTTTGCTGTGGTGAGTGGATGCTGTCGCTGACACAAGCTTGGCTCTCGGGTTTCTTACCACTCTGGAGCCATCACCGACAACCAGAGGCAGAGCAGACGTCGGCACTGGTTCGGCCCCTGGGGGGAGGAGTCCTGGAGGGCAGGGCAGGGCACAGCGGCAGCAGGGGAGGGAACCTCCCGTGAGCCCGGCTAACTCAGTGGCCGCCAGCCCTCTGTGCCCGCTGCTGCTGGCCTCAGCCGTCGTGTGTTTGTGCCCCCTCCCAGCTACAGTGCGACCGATGCCAGGTGTGGGCCCATGACTTGTGTGTGACGAGGCGGCATGGACGAGTGTATCAGAAAACCAGCGTCCGGTGCAGAACCTGCCTCCTGGCAGATGAAGGAGCGGGGCCGGGGCCCGGACCCTTCTCCAGAGCTCTGGAAGCAGAGGGGAGCAGGTCAAGCAGCTTGGGGCCCTAAGGAGGACCATGGGACCAATGTGGCCGGCCACGGGCACCACCGGGCAGCAAACACTCATCATCTTCCCGCCTTCCAAGTAGCTGGTGGGCCCTGAGCCTGGGCCTGCCCCATCTCTGCCAGGGACAGACAGATGTGCCCTGCGTGAGGACCGTGTACAAACGCTGCTGCGATGGGTGAAGTCACTACAACCTCCAATGTCTGTTCCATGTATTCTTTAGTTTTGAGATCCCTAAAAAAGTAAATCAGCTGCCCTTCTCCTACCCTCCCCCAACACTTACTCACAAGGCCTCTGTGACCCAGCTTCCCCTCCCTTCTCCGAGGAGCCAGGATGGTCAGACAACAGTCAACATACATCTCTCTGATGCCTGCCTGTCATGGGACAGTCACTGTGCCCACCTCTTGGGATACGAAGGTAGAAATGAACCTGTCCTCCCTGAGACTGCATCTCGGACTCTGGACCCCTAGCCCACCACCTCCCTACAAAGACACAAGATAATATTTTATTAAAAGTTAATATTTACTATTTGGGGGTTAGTTGGGAAGTTTTGCTGTGACAAAATTTAGTATGAAAATAATTTTTATAGCTTTTTGATTTATCTGTAAGCTCCATCCCTCCAAAAAAAAAATCAAATTCTTTTAAGAGACTTAAATTTTGTCAGTGGTGTATAGTTCCTGGTTTTCTGTGTCATAGTAACTAATTTTGAAATTTAAAAAATTCAATAATGCTTTCAAACTATTATTTTATCCATTTTTATTAAACATTCATATTTCATATTCAGAAAATATTTAAGTGATACAAACTTCTGCCTTGTGTGGGTCCCCAAAAAATGAATACTTCATTTTGCATCCTGAGGCCCTGCCATTTCTGTCAAGAGGCACATGGAGAGCTCCTCAGTCCTCTGAACTTAACCGATGGCGTCAAGGGAATTAGAAGAATGGCCTTTAAATTAAAATTTAAAAGCAGAAAGTGTCAGTTGGACAAACTGGCCTCTCACCCGTGGGTGACCGGAGTGGAACAGAGCAGACTAGAGATGGGAGAGTCAGGAATCAAACAGAAGTGTAAGGTCGAAGTGAGGGAAACACGTATGCTGGTGGGAGGGACCTGCTGTAGTGTGGCTAAACCTCAATTGATATACCTGAGGCTAGACAGTCGAAGTGTAGCATAGCTACAGTAGTGAGATAGTAGCATCAGGGAGGCAAGGTTGTCTAGTGACAAAGTCCATTCATGCAGGGCTTCATGGCTGGGCCTGTTTGTGCTTGCCCCAGCTCGGGGACCATCCCTTCCAGAAGGCGAGCGCAAAGGATTGTGGTTCTGCCAGGCTCAGGGCACAGCTTGTTTGCTGGGCCTTAGCTCTGGAAATCAAGGTGTCTCCTGATATCTTGACAAAAGCAAGGGGCACTTAGGTGGCAAAGAGGATAGAGCACCGGCCCTGGAATCAGGAAAACCGGAGTTTAAATCCATCTTCAGGCACTTACTACCTGTGTGGCCCTGGGCAAGTCATTGAACCCCGATTGCCTCGAAAAATAAATAAATAGAAAGCAGCATCCTCCACAGGGCTTTGGGGGAAGAGCAGGGAGGGTGGTGGGGGGTGACGAGGCTCTGAACTAGGGTGAGGAGGGACTCTGACGAAAGAGAAGGGAAAGCGATCGGAGCAGAGAAGATTGGTCAACGGATCGGAGGTGTGGAATGATTGAAAGAATGGAGATGGTGGCTGAAAGAAGCCCTGAGCAGGCCATCAGACTGGCCATTGCATGATGGGGCAAGGGGGATTTAGGCTGCAGAGAAGCCATCCCCTTACCTTTGAACCAATACTGGGGCCTCAGACCTCCCAGAAACAGCAAGTCTGTCCAAGGGCTCCTGCCATGGCAAGAAGGTCAGCTTACCCTATGGCTGTGCACCAACTTTCACAGCTTCTGAAGGCCAGCTCGGGCAGGTGTGATTGCATGGGCTGACTGTGGCTGGATTCCCACTCAGGGCTAGATTTCTCTGGGGGACAGGGGTGTATGTGTGTGGGGGGGGGGGGGTTCAGCACCAGGGGAAAGGTGGAGTGAGGGGACATCACTCACCATTTCACAGCTCAGGCTCCTTGACTCTGGGACTGTGGAGGCTCTGCCATGGGATTCTTCAATCAGGATACTCGATGAGCTCTCACCCAGGCACTAAGAGAATAGCAGGGCTGTGATTACTGGAGCGGCTGCTCTTGGGAAAGCTGGACAAGGCCTTTCAAAGCCAATTTCAGAGAAAAGACACCATGGCGGACGGGCAGCATGGGCAGGGGAGAGAAGCCTTGTCCACAAGTGATTCTGACACTAAGCAGAATGCAGGGAATGCCCTGGAGAGGGCCAACGGCCTCCTCTGAGGGTCTGGGGCGGGAGGGATCGCTCCTGGGAAGGCAGGTGGTGAAAGAAGTGGGGCACGTCTGAGCTGACCACGGTGGGGAAGGAGGGCATGCCAGGCCCAGGCACTGGGGTGAGCAGAGGCGTGGAGGCTAGGGAGGGGAAGCACCTGGCCTGCCTGGTCTGGGGCCTAGGAGAGGCTGAGCAGGGGCAGACGGGCCTGTGGGGAGCCTGGAATGCCAGGACAGCAAGTGTAGACTTCTTTAGTGGGCACTGAGGAGTCCAGGTTTGTGTACAGTACAGTGACCCCCTCACAAATGGGCTACAGCACAAAAGAGCTAGGCCTCTGTCTTTAAAAAGAAACACAGCCAGTCTCGTGGCCTCATGATCACCGCCTCCTACAAATGGACCTGTCCCAGTGACTGTCAGGTCCCCAGACTGGTTCCATGAGGCCATCCCAAAGCCAGCTGCCATTTGGGACGGGCCCCTACTCTTTCCTCTCTTGGCAAGCTGAGGCAAGGGCCCCCAGAACCATCCTGGTTAAAGCAAAGAGTGAAGAGTTAGCGGAGGACAAATGTCACTCTGGTCTGATGGCCGGGCCCAACCCAAGTCAGATCTGGCACCTCGCTGCCACCCACAAGAAAAGCCCTCTCCAGGGGCAGCTCGGTGGCGCAGTGGAGAGAGCACCGGCCCTGAAGTCAGGAGGACCCGAGTTCAAATTCGGCTTCAGAACAAACGCTTGACACTTACTAGCTGCGTGACCTTGGGCAAGTCACTTAACCCCAATTGCCTTAAAAAAAAAAGTCCTCTCCAGTGCCTTTGGGACTTGTCCTCCCCCCAGGACAGGAGCCACTTAGCCCAATCAGCCTGGTCTTGGCCCAAACTGTGTGTCTGTCTGTCTGTCTGTCTGGGGGTGGGGGAGGAGGCAGGAATCTTGGGCCAGGACATAGAGAAGGTGCCAAGTCATCAGGGGCCTCCTCTCAGCAGGAGCTAAGACCGCTTTGCTCCAGCCAGCTTCCCCTTCATTAGAGACCCTGACTTACCTTTCTGTCATCCACACCAAGGGAGCTACAAAGAAAGGAGAAGTAGGAGAGTTAGTGCTGCTGTGACCCTGGGGTGCGAAGCAAGGAGCCTCTGGGACAGCTGGGAGGATATTGTCCTTGGACAGGCTGGGCCACCTTAAGGGCACACCAGGGCCAGAAATCACCTCCCCTTGGCCTGAGCACTCATGCAGCTTAGCCCTGGGACGAACCACCAGTGGGGTCCCTTCCCACTCTTCTGACAAACCAGAATTCCCTTTATGTCTCTCGACAGGGGTCACTGTGTTCCTCGGGAGCCTCTCAGCCATCACCCTAAGACTAGGCACCGTGTTGAACTCTCGTGGAGCCACCTTGGACAGACGCCCTTCCTGCCCCACCAGGACCCTGCAGAGCCAAACGGGCTCAAAGGAGAGCTACCCACTTCACCTTCCAAGCCTTCCTCAGCCCCAGCTCCGACTCTTCCCCCTCCTCTCCACTTCCTTCTTTTTATTTTCCTTTTATTCTTCTTAAGACATCGCTAACATGATGTTTCTAATACAAAAGAGAATGGAAAATAGAAATTTACATGAATCTTTTATGCTGGTGTAGATTTTTATGTACAATTTTAGAATTATATATTTAATTTAAGAAAATAAGAAAAAAAGCTATTCATTTTAGTGTTCCTTAATTTCCCCCTGCTTTCTTTTTTTTTTCACGAGGCAATTGGAATTAAGTGACTTGCCCAGGATCACACAGCTAATAAGTGTTTTGTGTCTGAGGCCACATTTGAACTCAGGTCCTCCTGACTCCAAGGCCAGTGCTCTATCCACTGCACCACTTAGCTGCTCCCTTTCTTAGTTTTCAAATGTTTCAGTGAGTCTCTTTTCTTTTCTTCTATTTTAATATTGCCTTTTACCACCTCCCCAGAAAACACACCTCTTCCACATCAAACAGAAGCCCTACTTGTAACCAATAAGTCTAGTAAAGCAAAAGAAAATCACTGCCCATATCTGAAAATGTGTGTCTCAGCAGAGAGCTGGTAAGCGTGCTTTCTCATCAGCCTGAAGCAGTGGTGATTTGTCATGGGCAAACTGTGTTTTTTAGTCTTTTTTTTTTTTTAAGGCAATTGGAGTTAAGTGACTTGCCCAGGGTCACACAGCTAGTAAGTGTCAAGTGTTTGGTCTGAGGCTGGATTTGAACTCAAGTCCTCCTGACTTCAGGGCTGGTGCTCTATCCACTGCACCACCTAGCTGCCCCGAATGTACCATTGGGTCAATTCAAGTATTTTTTTTTTTTTTTGATGAGGCAATAGGGGTTAAGTGACTTGCCCAGGATCACACAGCTAGTAAGTGTCAAGTGTCCGAGGTCACATTTGAACTCAGCTCCTCCTGACTCCAAAGCCAGAGTTCTATCAACTAAGCCACCTAGCTGCCTGCCCCCAAACTGTGCTTTAAGAGTCCCAGAATAATTAGACAGTGCTACCAGTATAATAGAATATTAACACCAAAGGTCACTTAAAACCGAATACCAGAGCAAAAGGGGCTCCTGTAGATTTAAAATTACTCTCCACTGTGAATGAATAATCATTGAAGTGAAGGTATACAACTTTACCAAAGAGGAAATTCATAATTTTTTAAATTGCTTTTTCCATTGAAAGGTGATAAATTGATTATTTCAGTAGAAGATATTTTTTTTTTACCACTTAGAGAATACAAAAACCAAATTGGTCCGAAACCTCTAAGCCTTATTAATTTAAGTAACAATTTAACAGAACTTGTTTGGGTAAATTGAGGCAAAGTCATCTAAAAGAAATTGAAATAGACAATGCCACTCAAAATGTAAAATACAAGAAAATTCATACAGGGAAGATTCAGTAAAGTATTAGTCTTGACTGTGATTGGGAACTAGGGATGAATTGGGAATAAAGAAGGAAATAAATAGAGAAAAAACAAAGAAGGAATAAAAGCAGTGAAGGTCAAGTGAAGGGTGGTATCACACCGTAAAGAGAAGGAGCAGTTTTGAAGTTTGCAGGGCTTTAAGCAGAGTCCGATGGAAGATCAGAAACAAGGTGGAAGCCCGTAGAGAGAAGAGGGAAATGGGGGAAGGTTAAAGGTAGTCAGAGGCTGCACGGATGTGGGGTTTGGTGTTTGGGAAGGAGAGGTCTGACGATGTTATTTTGTATCTCATTGAGATAAGAAGGAGAAGATAATTTTTTTTTTTTTTTTGAGAAATGCCTGTTTTGAGAATGTTCTATCAATTACAGCATTTACCTAATGGAAACTATAGTAATCAATGTGCGGTGTAGAATTACTTGAGTATAGTATACTATAGTAGAAATTCTGTCCTTGAAAGAC